ACAGTGAATCTGGAACCTACAACCAACCATGTTTCCTTACAGGTCAGTACTCACCCTCAGAAATATTGAGCGTAACCTCCACCATTCGGAAAAGATTCGTGAGTTCATAAAGCAGACAGCCACCCTTCCCCATGACTGGAATACGTGCTGTGGGCTGAATGCTCCCTGGATGTCCTTGTACCTACATGAGGACATGAGGAGCAGAAGGGTTTTGGACCCAAGGTTACTCGTGCAGAGGTGACTCACAAATTGGGTGGGGTCCTGTTCTCTTGCTCTGGTTCCCCCAGGGACCGCGTGCTCACAGGTGCTCAGCCCATAGGGTCTGGGAGTCAAGGAGCAGGTTGGGGTGGGAGCAGCGAGGCCAGAGCAAGAGCAATGCCTGGCAGTGGGGGATGTCTCCAGCAGTGCCCAGCTGAGTGCTGAGCTGGGGAAGCTGCTCCTGGAGCCCCTGGATCAGCCCTGTGGGAAGCGGTTGTGAAGAGCATCCCCGTTTGTGGGAGCTCAGGGGAACCTCCCCTCGGTCTCTGCTGGGAGCAGACAGAGCATGAAGGGCAAGACCTGAGCTTTGGTTCCACAGGCCTTTTGGGCAACCACCACCGTGTCTGCCAGGGAGAGACAGACAGGGAGACATGGGTGTCAGCTGTGCGGTGTCATTGCTGGGTGCTGGCCCCACCTTGGTGGTGCAGCACAGGATGGGAGGGAGAACAAGCAGGGGAAGAGGGGCTGAAATCTGCCAAAGCCACACTGGGCTGCCAGTAGGTACTCACTCTTGGACACGGAGAGCCTGACCTCCATTATCTGGATGACATTAGAGTAGCTGTAGAGTGCACACCAGTACGTGCCACTGTCCTGGGTCTGCAGCTTCTCCATGGTGATGGTAAAAATCCTGTTCTGGGTGTCATCCTGGATCAAGGCTCTGTCTTCCAGGGCTTTGCTGCTACGCCATGTTGAAGTCTGATCTGTCCTCACCAAGGTTTTACAACTAGTCTTATCTCTTCGGCACCAGCCTTTTATATCTGTCCTAGCCACCAAGGCGCTGTATTTGCACTGCACGGAGAGTCTCTCCAACTCTCTCTTGTGCAGCTCTGCAAAACAGAAAATGTGGTCACTGACCCAGGAGTGGTGGGCACAGGGGCATCCACCCCCCAGCCTGATCCAGACACCTGGGCCCATCTCTGCTCTGGGCAACTCCCTCACGAATGGCCCGTCAGTCAGGGCAGGGGTGAGGTGGGACAGGACAAGAGGGAGCCGAGATCCCGTGGGGCCAGGAGGGTCTGTGGGCTCCTTCAGACCATGGCTGTGTGAGGGGGAAGGTGGGGAAGGAGTGTGGGGGTCAGGGGAAGCTGCTGAGCTGTGTGGGTGAGAGGGGATGGAGTGGGGGAAGGAATGATGTTGCTTTCTGACAAGACTTGAGTTTGTGTGGGAAAAGAGGTACTCACCCTTGAAAACAGTCAGTGAGATCACCTTTAGTGGAAGATAGACGCTGTAGGAACCGTAACCACAGGCGTATGTGTCCGAGTCCTCTATCTGGAGGTTAGTCATGGTGATGGTCATAGTCCTATTCGTGGGGTCATCCTCTATTGTAATTTTCCCCTTTGTGGCCTTGTTTCTCTGTGGGTATTGTGTTTGGTAGGCTGTCTCCACTAAGGGATCACATTTTCCATCTCTCACTCGGCACCAGACTTTCCATTCCTGGTCAGCATGTGCTGTGTAAGGACACTGGATGGAGAGAGTGCTTCCTTCTGGTAGGCTCTCCTCCTCCTCCTTGGCTGTTTGGGCATGGAGACCTGTAAATATCAGATGTGGTGAGGGAGAGGGGAGCTGATGCAGGGCTGCTCACAACCTCCTGACACACGCAGGGAAACTCTGCCTCTGATCTTCCTCCAGGAGCACTTGTGGCTGGATGAGCTCTGAAAACCACCTTGTGTTCCTCTGCTAAATTCACGTGGTGCTTGGAAATGGGAAGGTTGATTTCTGGTGGGCAGTGTTGAGATTTGAGCGGGGACCACAGCTGTTATTTAAACCCCAGTATCTTTGATTTAAACCCCACAGACATGTGAGTGCTAAAATTGTTGGAGCTTGAACTCCAATGGAGCATTTGAAGCTGCCCCAGGAGCCCACCCCATTGTTCCTGCCTCTCGCCAGAGGTGAAGTGGAGACGAACCCTTCCCCCTACAAGGGATGGAAGTGTTGGGGCTCAGCTGCCCTCAGGAGCCAGGTGGCCATTTGTATGGGGATGTAGGGATGGGAGAGAGGAAGGAGCAAGGTCAGTGTGTGTGTTGAGGATGAAATGCTCAACGCATGGCTGCTCCCAGCAGCTCCCAGCTCCTCCATGCTGCATCCTCGGAGGATGCCCAGTGACTCAGGGGTGCGAGGCTTTGCTGGGTGCAGGGTGTCCAGACACCCTCACACAGGCAGTTCCTGCTCTGAAGGGTTTATCCATTGGCCCTGAGAGATCCTGGTGAGGAGCAGTGGAAAGGTCGTGATTGCAGGGGGAGAGGAAGAGAGTGGGGCAGAGGAGCAATGCCCATCCAGGGGCAGCTCTGCCCAGCACCTCTGTGCCAGACAGACAGTGCAGAGTGCTCTGCACACACAGCTCATGTGGGACGGGCACTGAGAGACAAACAAGCCTTTGGGAAGGGAAACAAGGAGCTGGCAACCATCCTTCCTCGATTCCCCAGCCTACCACATACTGAAGGCTTTGTCCTTTCTGCAGGGATGGCAGGGCTCTGTCCTGCCCCAGGACTGCAGTCTGAGGGGCCGAGCAGGGCCAGGCAGTGTGATGGGAAATGCCAGCTCAGGGCGGCACTGGGGCTGCTTTGGAGGCCACAGCTTTGTTCTCCCAGGGTGGTTTGGCCTGAGAGCCTGGAGGAGCCAAATGTGCAGCAGTGGGAACTGGGGCTGCCCTTTCCCTCCCCATCCCTACCACGAGT